CAATTTCATCAATTTTCATCAATTTCACACCCTAACCAGACTAACTTGTTAACTGAGAACTCAAATTTACTAAGTTTCAACACCCATCCTTCTTCACTCAATCGACTCATGACTCTTTCGACCAGTACATTATGATCCTCAATTTTTCCTTTAGTGACAACCAGTATATCATCAAGCTAACATAAGACGCCTTCCAATCATTGTAAAGTACAGTCCATCGCTTTCTGGAATTCCCTAGGCATATTTGTCAGTCCGTAGAAACCAGTTTTGAATCGATAGGTGCCTGTTGCCTCTCCACTCAAAATACTAAAGTTACAATGAATACTGGTTAGCTCCGATAAAGGTAATTGACTAAAAGCGTATTTAAGGTCAAGAGAAGTAAACCACACTTCACCAGGTATGTCCCTAGTTATGATTTGGGCCGCCGAGTCAATCAATTCATGCATATTAGGCATTTGATATTTATTTTGCCAGATTTGGGCATTCATGGGCTTAGCATTGAGCGCGAGTTTTATAGACCCATCCTTTTTTGCTGTTAGGACTATGGGCGCAATGAAATGATCCGAAGTACACTTTTCTATTTTTTCAATGTGCTTGTCTTTGGTTAATTTTTTAATCTCAGCCGTGACTCGATCTTGCAAATGTATAGGGACTTTTCGGCCTTTAACTTGTCTAGGTACCAAAGAGTCTTTTAAATTCGTGAATACTTTATAATTTTTTGACCTCTCCAGCCTGTTGAATACGTTGGGGTACCTTTTGACAAAATGATCCCTCAAGAATTGTGAGGTCGGATCAATTTCCTGCTCTTATTCCGCCAAGCTAACTTCTGCCGATCCGCGTTGCACCGTTTCAGTTCCCAATCTGTCATGAAGGTTCAACCCGAGTAAATTCCGTGTACGATTTTCGGAAACCAAAAAACACGCATTTTCGATTTTCCAACCCTTCGACGTAATAGCGGTTTCTAGAGATCCGAACAGTTTAATCGCTTTCTTGTTATAGTCAACACAAGTATCGTCTAATGGATGTCTCGCGACGTCCTTAAATTTAACATTAGCAATCTGCTTCATGAGTATTTCCGCCGTTTTCTTGTTTAAGAAAGACACGGGACTGCCAGTGTCCACCGTAGCATAGAAAAAGGAGTTACCAGAACGTAACTGAACGCTGAGGCTCCTTGGTTGTCCTCCCGCTGCCTTCAGAAGTTCAACATTGTTTTATCTGCATAACGTCTATCGCCATGACCCCATATTCCGGCTCGCTGTCATCATTTACGTCAATTAAATTGCCTCTTGATCTGAAGACTCGATAGAGTTGGTAGTATTGGAAGTAGCGTTGTTATGCAGGAGCAGTTTCTGAAACTGTTTTGATGTTTAAGCCCATTCTCATTCTCCAATGCCAGTTGTAGAGTATCATCAAGATTAGATTTTGCTCTGATTAATTGCCTCTGAACCTCCACATTGCGAATGCGGCCAATGAACAAGTCCTTCATTTTCGCTCTTTCCTGATCGAGTGGCCAATTACGCAGCGCAGTTTGAGCGCAAAGTCGGGCATAGAATGATGAGAATGAATCATTATCCTGCATGAAAATTGTTTTATACAACTTTATCCTTTCGACTGTGTAGTCCCGCTCTGCCTTGAAAAGATCTTCGCAACACTTGTGAAAATCAATGAAAGAGCTAGTATTGAGGTCCAGGTGAAGGTAAGTATCCAAAAATTGTTTTTTCCCCTCATTTCCCAGTGCGAAGAAAAGTCGCGATTTCAAACGCGCCTCTGCCTCATGGTAACACCAGTTATGTCCAACGCGAGGTCCTTTCCTCCTCCTCTCTTGATTGTACTCATCGATTCTTCTATTAGCTGCTGCAACTCGGAGGTTCCTATTGGTTACATCTGCTGCACTTTCATCAGTTTCCGGTCCCCAGGTGAAATATTGTCTTTGAGACTAACGGCCAAGAAAAACTGTCCCACCCAAGTCTCCCAAATGAAAGGTGGGTTAACCGATGTTTTCGCCCAAAAGGGTAGTATTCCGAGTAAGTCAGCCCTGTCTTCATTCACAGGACCTGCTGGCTGCGCCATGAGATTTCCCTCAGTTGGAGTAGGGAAAACAGCATTGTAAAAATCGAATATTGAATTAAATATGATATACAAATAGATAGAATAGAATAATGTATATATGAATAACGATTCCAGATTGAATGTATTGTTTTGAATAACAAGAATGTTTAACGACTAGATTTCATACTTAAGGCTTTCGCAAGTGACCGCTTCAGGTTCTCAAGTGACAAACGATTTGACTGGTGAGATTTGTCCTTGAATCAATTTACTGCACTATAAGTAGATAATTAAGACATAATTAAATAAGACATACATAAGTAAATAGAACAGAATGAGGTACCGAAGGTCGCCTCATGGCAATCACAGGGCAATGAAGCTCCTGATTAAAAAAAAATCCGGAATGATTTTGTTTGTGTCGATAGATTGACCAATTTTCAGACCATTTTCCAGGCTGCTTTCGAACTGAATCGTCTTGAAACAGTTTTCAAACGCTCTTTCAGCTCTCGTTATTTTTATTCTTCCTACGTTTTGATGGAAAAAAATGTGTCTTTTATGTTATTCATTTTTTAATTGATTTCGTTAGGTTTCCTGGAAAATGAATTTTGCGTTTCCTGAAAAAAAAACTATACTCAACATGTTAAAAACCTACAAAACCCATTCTTGTAAAACACGTCAAAAAAATTGGCACAGTTAACCTAGCCTGGGTAGGAAGTTCACTTAGAATATACGTATCCGATGAGAACAAATAAGGGGAAGGAGACACTTCGGTTTAGTTCACCAGAATTTATTGAGATATAAATATAATACCGGAATTCATTCGAATAGATCACTTCTGGGTTTAAAGAAAAAACGAAAAAATAACTGTGCGAGGTATAAAGTCACAATTTACTCATTCTGTTGGTGACCACAGAGGGTGTGATTTTTTTCCAAAATCATTACAAACGATAAAATGAAGACTTGGGGTTATGCTTCTGGAGCAGAACTTAGTCAATTAAACTAAGTTAGCGTATAATAAAACTAGACCTGATAAAACGAGACCCAAAACGAGATCTAATAAATTGTGACATTAGAAATGATAACTTACGATCTTAATTCCGTTTCAGGTAACCTTCGACAAATTGAGTTTTGTTATCATTTTTGGTTAGACAAAATCAGGACTCGTTTTCTTGTACCCAAACAAAATGATATGACTCTAAATTCTGCTCCAAGAGCATTACACCTAATCTTCGTTTTATCGTTTGTATCAAATGTTCAAAAAGACCAAATCCTCAGTGGTATTCCACAAATAAATTATATGTGTGATTTGCACAAAAATTTATTGATTATTTTTTCTTTGAACCCAGAAAGGTGATCTTTTCGAATGGATTCTACTACTAACAAAAAATAAACGATAAACAAAACTCATTATGGAAGGTCACCTAAAACGGAATTTCAGATCATAGGTTCTCAACTCTTACAATTTGGAACATTTTAGCAACACAGCATGTGGAGCGGCCGAAACAACAGCAGCATCATTTAAGGAAAACAATTTTTTTTGTGGTGTTAAAAACAACACAGAACTAATTTTTTGATGTTATAGTATTAGTCTTTGATAATCATAGGGCACTGAAGCTCCTGCATTAAAAAAAACCGGAATGTTTTTTCCTCGTGTCGATGTATTGACCGATTTTCAGACCAACTTCCAGACTGCTTTCAAGCTGAATTTTTCTGTAACTCACTTTCAAACGCTCTTTCAGCTCTTTATTTTTTTTGTTATTGCGATTTTGTGACCAATTTCAATCAAACTTTAAAGGAAAAATATGTCACAATTGTTATTCATTTCCTAATTTTTTTCATCACGTTTTCTGGAAAACAAGTTTTGCATTTCCTGAAAAAAAAAGGAAAATTAATGATTATGGTAACAACCTAAGAGCCCAATTCTGAAAAACGCGTCGAAACCATTGCCACAGTTAACACAGTCCGGGTAGGAAGTTCAGTAAGCTTAAACCGGACCGATGAGCACAATTAAGGGGAAGAAGACATATCTAAGTAGCAATCAATCGATTATTGAAATTTCCCTCTGTGAAAGTAATCCACCGGCAGCAAAATGGAAGAAAAACCATAAAATAGTAGATTCCATTGGAACAGACCTCTTCTCTGGGTTTAAAGAAAAAAAGAATGAAACAATGTTTGTGCGAGGTATGAAGTCGCAATATATTCATTCTGTTGGTGACCACAGAGGATGTGATCTTTTTCAACAATCGATACCAACGATAAAACGAAGACTTGGGGTCATGCTTCTGGAGCAGACCTTAGAGTCAATTAAACTATTTTTGAACTTTAAAAAACCGGAATTATTTTACTTGTCTTGATGTATTGACCGATTTTTAGAAAAACTTCCAGACTGCTTTTGAGCTGAATCTTTGTATTTTTTCAATTGTAACGCGAATTTTTTTATTCATAAATTATTTTTGGTCGCAATACGCTAATTCAATTGCCCAGCAATTGGCTCCCTTAGTTTGTATTAGGCTCTCATAAGCTTGTTTTGTATTTTTGATGTTTTAGTTTTCTTCAACATTTTTTTATATTTAAGAAACCTGGTACATTTTTGGTTCACCAATACAAACATTTTCATCATTTCAATTCAAAAACCGTGCATTGAAAAATTCGCTCCCCATTTCGCAAGCTTTCGATTTCCACAACACGGCTAAGTGTACAATAATAGAACTGGGCAAGCATGAAGAACTAGGCTTACCCATTCTCACAACAGCATATCAATTTTAAGTGATTTAGCGATTGGTTTTTCATCAGGTTAATTACAAAAAATGTATTTGTAAGAGCGTGATTTGTAGGCATGCAAATTGGTTGAACAATCGTACTGCGAGCCAAGTTTTAGCATTAAAAACTTGCAGATGGGGGTTTTAAAGAATAGCCGAAAATGTATGCGTTCACGATAGTGGAATTGTTCTTACCCCCTCTTGTTTTCGTCAATCTTTTCATCGTTGTTGAATCGGGAAGCTTAGGCCTCCACCACCTTATATTCGTGTTCGTATTCGCGTTCCCATTCGCGCTCACCACATTTGTCGGATTCGCATTCGCCACATTAGTTGCATTCGTTGTAACCGTCGTATTCGTCGACGTCGTCGTCATCGTTGTCCTCTTCTTCTTTTTGTTCTTCTTCTTACTTGATGTCGACTCCTGGACGGTTTCATCGGTCATAGCAGACGTAGGAGTCGCTGGAGTCACTGGTTCGCTCATTGGCGCGTTTACTAGTGCATTTAGCGGTTGAGTTTCTTGCATTGTCGGGGGGATTTTTGGCTGCTGATGCGGCGTTGAATCAAAATTCCTTGAAGCAGTTGCTGGCATTTGCCTGCCTAACTGCTCCAAGTAGGTATTCGATGCTGCAAATGGTCCTGTAACCTCAGTTTGCACTGGCATTGCGTTCGGATATGAATTCTTTCTGTAGGGTATCCAAGGTTGCTCTTGCTGCTGTTCGGGATCCAAGTATAATACGCGCTGATTCTTGGTCGTTTTGTATACCGGCTCCTGGGAATCGGATCGTCTTCCTGATCTCGGTTGATTATTATCTCTCCTACTGTGACCTCCGTGGTTCGGAATTTTGGAAGAAATCCCATACTTGGTCAAATCTGCTGGACGACCTGCTGCTTTTTGTGTCATTAACTGCTGCTGGTTGTCATCATACCCTTGCATTTCTCCACTTTCTTGGGTTCCGAGCTGATTTTGATCTCTCAATTGAGTTGCACCGATTGCCTCAAACAGAGTTGATCGCGGAGGCTTCTGTGGAGATGTCGCCTGAGTCATAGGTGCTGTCGGTTGCTTCAGTGGAGACGTCGTTTGAATCAGAGGTGATGTCGGTTGCTTCAGTGGAGATGCCGTTTGAATCAGAGGTGATATCGGTTGCTTCAGTGGAGACGTCGTTTGAATCAGAGGTGCTGTCGGCTGCTTCAGTGGAGATGTCGTTTGAATCAGAGATGATGTCGGTTGCTTCAGTGGAGATGCCGTTTGAATCAGAGGTGCTGTCGGTTGTTTCAGTGGAGATGTCACTTGAATCCGACGCTCTGTCGTTTGAATCAGAGGTGCTGTCGGTTGCTTCAGCGGAGATGTCGTTTGAATCAGAGGTGCTGTCGGTTGCTTCAGTGGAGATGTCGTTTGAATCAGAGGTGCTGTCGGTTGCTTCAGTGGCGACGTCGCTCGAATCAGAGGTGATGTCGGTTGCTTCAGTGGAGATGCCGTTTGAATCAGAGGTGATGTCGGTTGCTTCATTGGAGATGCCGTTTGAATCAGAGGTGATGTCGGTTGCTTCAGCGGAGACGTCGTTTGAATCAGAGGTGATGTCGGTTGCTTCAGTGGAGACGTCGTTTGAATCAGAGGTGATGTCGGTTGCTTCAGTGGAGATGCCGTTTGAATCAGAGGTGCTGTCGGTTGTTTCAGTGGAGATGTCACTTGAATCTGACGCTCTGTCGTTTGAATCAGAGGTGCTGTCGGTTGCTTCAGCGGAGATGTCGTTTGAATCAGAGGTGCTGTCGGCTGCTTCAGTGGAGATGTCGTTTGAATCAGAGGTGCTGTTGGTTGCTTCAGTGGAGATGTCGTTTGAATCGGAGGTGATGTCGGTTGTTTCAGTGGAGATGTCACTTGAATCTGACGCTCTGTCGTTTGAATCTGAGGTGCTGCCGTTTGAGTCTGAGGTGCTGTCGTTTGACTTTGAGGTGCTGTCTGTTGCTTCACTGGCAATGTCAGTTGCGTCTGCGGTGGTGTCGGATTTGCAGGCATTGCATATGATCCTGGTTTTGTATTCGAAGGTGACGCTCGTTGAGGCGAATCTTGCGATTTTGTTGGACTTAAAGTTGCTCCTAAAAGCTCAAAGGTGTTCTGTGTTGATCCTTCTGTTAGCATTTCCTTGCGCGCTTTAGATTTTACCCGCTGCTTTCTTGGGGTGGGGTTCTGAAACGCTGCTCGTGAGCTTTCGTTTGCTGATGTTTGCGAAACTCCTCTTTGATTTCTAGTGTTGAACGCAGTTGGAGACATCACTGGCTGAGCAACCTGATTAAATTGACGACCAGAAGAAATGCGAGAGGAAGATGAAGATCCAGCTGTCGCTGCTGGTTGTTTCAGCCCAAAATGACCCATCGTATGATTTCTTGCTTCGTTTGGCGGTGGCTCTGAAAAATTTTCTTTTAGTCCCTGGAACATTTTTAATACCAATTTTTCACACGTTTTTACTTTCTCAGTTGGAGCAACATTGTTTCAATATTAGCATTTGCAAAATTTTGTTCCGTAAATTGATCGCATCAGCTGGTTTTTCCGACTGCTCCATAATTTGTTTCAAATGTTCTTAGTCTTTTAAAAAAAGTTGAGATGGTCGTTTTAACTTTTTGCCAGTTATGCATGTTATAAATGGTTCATCTTCGTTTCTCTTTCTAAAATAGTTCAATGAGTAAACGGTAAAACAACCCGGGTCGAGATCCCGCTCAAAAACCGCTCAAGATATGAGCGGTTTGAGCGGTTTTTCAGCAAGATTTGAGCGGTTTGAGCGGTTTTTCAGCAAGATTTGAGCGGTTTGGGCGGTTTGGGCGGTTTTTTTTGGAAAAACCGCTCAAACCGCTCAAATCTTGCTTGAAAAACCGCTCAAAAACCGCTCATTTCTTGCGGTGATTTTTGAACGGTTTTTCAAGCAAGATTTGAGAGGTTTCAAGCGGTTTTTGAGCGGTTTTATAAAGAAAACCGATTAAAACCAACAAAAAGGCCTCGAAAGGTAATGTGACCCCGGGTTCACCTCCATAAACCGAAAATGCTTATCTTACAAAATGCCGTATCAAATGTATGGAAAAGTGCTAATCATACAATTTTCATGCTAATTCAAAATACCGTTGAAAAAAATATTTAACCTACTTTCTCCGGCTATTTGAACCAAATACAACATTCTGGTGATGAATAATAACTAAGTTTACTTCTTTGAAAAAAATGGTTATCATACAATTTCCATTTATGAAAATTGTATGATAACCATTATTTATGAAAGGCAAGGTTTTCAGAAATTGTTAAAACTTGTTTATAAACAAACTTAAATTATTTAGGAGTGCTTTTGCTCAATTTAAAGGACATTGCTCATCAAAAATGAATATTTAATTTGAAGCTAAAAAAATGTTTATCCTACAATTTTCATATATGAAAAAATGTTAATCCTACAATTTCCATATATGAAAAAACGCTTATCCTAGAGTTTTTTTCACAATTTACTGAGTCTGTGAAACTGTAGGAAACGCGGGTTGCCCACCATAGAAGATAATGAAGTTGAAATGTGAAGCATGATTTGAGCGGTTTGAGCGGTTTTTTTTAGACAATTACGCTCAAAATCTTGCTTGAAAATGAGCGGTTTGAGAGGTTTTTGAACGGTTTATCTTAAAAAAACGCTCAAAAACCACGCAAGATTTGAACGGTTTTGAGCGGTTTATCTAAAAAAACCGCTCAAAAACCGCTCAAACCGCTCATTTTGAAGCAAGATTTTGAGCGTAATTGTCTAAAAAAACCGCTCAAACCGCTCAAATCTTGCATCAAATTAGGTGAAAAATCTCGACTCGGGAACCCCGCCAAAAATTTCTTAATTTAACCGAGGCAAGCTCAATGGTCGTATAACTTGATAAAAGACGCAATCTATGCTACTTTTCAGTGTCTATACCAAAAAGATACTAGATAAGTTGAAGTGCAATTGGATGACTAAGAATTTACCCTGATACGCGCCCTGTCTGGATTCCTGCTCTAGGTAAAATTAATGCGTCTTTCTCCAATTTCTCACCCCCTCGTAACTTAAAATTTTAAAATAGAAATTTATAAATTGTTTGGCGAATTTATAAATGAAGTTTTATAAAGTATTCGGAGGATAGCAAAAAATTGGAATCGACAAAAATATTTAAGAAGAGCAATCCGTTAAAGCAAGTTTTGCACAATAAATTGAGTTTTTCAAGCTTGAGACTTAATTTTTGAGGCTAAATTTTTCAACCTTGAGACTTAATTTTTGTCTCATAAATTAGCGATTGCAAAGTTCAGACAAAAAAAAAACAATTAAAAAGAGCAATCTGCAAACTTTGAACTAAATTTGAATATTTAGGCCATCTTGAATATAATTATGTCCGCCAAATTATTTTATGTTGTTTTCATGGGAAATGAATTTTAACGAACCGTACCGATGAAATGAGTTTTACACATTTATTAACGCAGGCTTTTCATGCTTTGTCAAAACTTCAAACTGATAAGTAACACGGATTATCCTTAGACAGGCTGGATAGCCTTCGATAGCTCCTCTGCGAATCACAGAAACGACTATTAATCTTATGATTGTATGACTATGATCTATGATCATTATTATAAATATTACATGATAATGATTATCATTAATTACTATTATTATATCAATCTGAAGGTTTTGACAAACAAAGAAGCAGCCAAAGCCAACAGCTGAGAAATTCTCATTTCAGCTTATAAAGGTGTAAATGATAAAAAAAAAGAAATTTCGAAATCGGTTTGCAGGACTAGAAGAAAAAATCACTTGTGGGTTGGTTTTGGTCCGACGGAACATAGTTGTTGACTGCAGTTTGCGGAGGAACAGTTGCAGGAGCAGCAATTGAAGCATACGTTCTAGAGAGTCCAACATTGGAGTTCTGAGGTTGATCTGCAAGTCTGGGTGGATCTGCTCGTTCGGTAGGTGCCTGCTCGGAGGTTGATCCAAGACTGGCTTTCTTGAACTCAAGTGCTTTTCCAGTCACAGAAACGTTTCCGGGCGAAGTCACCGAACGCTGCGGAGATACGCGGTGGGATCCAGGGCTTTGAGCACCAGTCGCGTTTCCAGGCGCAACATGTTTTGCGGGAAAAGCCACCGAACGCTGCGGCGATACGGTTTGGGATCCAGGGCTTTGAAGACCAGTCGCGTTTCCAGGCGCAACATGTTTTGCGGGAAAAGCCACCGAACGCTGCGGCGATGCAGTTTGGGATCCAGGGTTTTGATGACCAGTCGCGTGTCCAGGTGGAGAAGGTTTTCCGGGAGAAGCCACAGAACGCTGAGACGATACGGTTTGGGATCCAAGGCTTTGATGAACAGTCGCGCTTCCTGGTGGAGACGCATTATTGGGGTTCTGAGTAGCTGTTGGTGAGCCTGTTTGATTGTACAAAGTCGAAAAGTCCGGTCGAGAGCTAATGGGAGGAAACGGAGGTTGGCTAAATCGAGATGGTTTGGTCGAAGAACCAGCTGTGCTCTGTGGGAGCGCATTTGCGGGGAGTCGTGATGGCGACAGACTGTGTTCACCACTTTGAGCTCGCAAAATTGAAATTTAGTTTTAGGGGCTTGAAATTTTTTTATCACAACTATTATCTATCATCTATTATCACAACCTGTTCTATTTATTGAACCCAAAACCTCAAATTTGTGAGATTTGTTCTGGAAAAAAGACAAAAAAATGTAAAAAGGTCCAAAGTCAAAACTTGACTGTTCTGTGGGACAATTTTTTTAGTGTACAAAAAAATGGGCGTAGCTGCAAAAAAATTGCTGAAAATCTTGAAAGAAGCTTTTGAGAAAAAATTATTAATTTTTCAAAAAAAAATAAAATTCTTTCAAAGCGTCTCAAACTAACAACCAAATAGAACCCGATCCGATAATTTTTTTTCGTAAAACTTGTTTTTAATATCACTAAAACTTTTGTGTTCTTGAACTTTTCCCTGAGGCATAATTTTTCGAACAAATTTTAGGATTTACCAACTTTTGCACGGAGGCTTCCGACAACCTGTTGCCTCGATTAAACCCTTGATATCAGAAAAAAAAACGGACAAGAAGTAAAAATATTGTTCCACAAAACCAAGTTCAAAAAAACGGTCAAACAACCAATTTTTGGTTTTTCCGAAGGTCATTACTTTTATCTTAAAAATTAGGCGTCACCGGTCATGTAGGGAAGCTTCCCACAGCTCGTTATAATCATTGAAACCAAAATACCAGAAAAAGGTGGGTAGTAGTAGTGTAAAAGTGGCTAGGAAAATGACCACTTTTAACCCCCCTTTTTTCAGTATGCGGTTTCATTGACCGTGTTTAACCCCCATAGGAGTTGAAATTCGTAATTTTTCCGACAAACATGTTTTGAAGGGGATTAAATTTGGTATATTTTTGGGAACTCTTATGGAAAAAAGATTGGAATTAAATTAAGTTTTGGTTGGTGCTTGTTTTTTCTTCTAAAATTTGGGGGTATTGGCTTGTTTACACGTAAAATGATGTTATATACCTAACATATGCAATGAAATGAACTTGAAGCAACCAAATTATGTGATATAAAGGAAAGCACAAGAATTTGGTAGCGTTGTTCAACTATTGGCAGCGGTGAACGATTTCCTTAGAAAATTCATGTTTTATTGCTGAATCGCGAAAAAAGAAAAATTCGTCAAGTGCGGCAGCCGCTACCACTAATTAGGCATTAATGATCAATTGGAACAAAATCAGATTGAAAAATTACTTTAAGCCATATGGAGGTTGAAGACAAAAAAATTACGAAACACTGAAAACTCTAAAACACTGAAGTTTTTCAAAATTTCGATATTTCCATTTTCCGTGTCTACGGGAGACTGAAAAACTTTTAAAAACTATGACAAAAGCTTTGATATTGTAGAGAACTTTGGAAAAGCTGAAAAATTGAAGTGGCTAAAAATCTTGAAAAGCGAAAACACTGATGAAAGCCAAAAAATGCCGTTAACTTTGCTACAGCAATTTCTAAGCTACAGCAATTTCTGGGGGAAAATTGATATTTATCTGTTAACATATACAACAAAACATAGCGATTTGCGATTTTTTAGCAAGGCAGCTTTGCAAATTTAGAGCAAATTCAATCGGGAAAGACTGAACACAACACAAGCTAAGACAAGTTATGGATACAAGCTCAAAACTTGATATGAATTCGGGGTTATGCTTTAAACACCCAATTGTTTTGCTTTTTCCATTAAGAATTCATTCATTTAAATAAATATTTTGTTTACGCTACAATCCGGTCAACTGTCCTCAGTATATTGTACTCAATGTCAACATGGTTTTAGAAGTTTGGAGCGCTATCAGTTTTTATCATAGATTAAACTTTTGCTCAACAAATTAATTTTTGAGTTTTAATTATAAATCTGAGTTTTTGACTGTTTCCCTGACCACGCTATTGCCTCTAAAAAAACGGTGGCATTTTGATGCAACTATTTGACTACTCATCTACAACTATTTGTGTTAATGAGAGTTCGACATTTCTTTCAATAAATGTCTGAGGTGGTCCAAGCTTTCATTTTCACTAGCAGGATCAAAACAGTTAGCATCATGCTACGTCCTCCCATTTTTGTATCGATAACAAAACGTGTTATTGAAACACTTTTTTTTGTTTGAAAGTGTAAAACAAAAAATCAAGCCTTATCATTAAAACTCTACCTAAACAATGTTCTCACCTCAATTTGGCTACAGCAGTTTTCGAAATCATATAAGTGCCATTTTGAAGTTTCAACGAGTTTCAAAAAATGAAAGGTGGAACGAACAAAAAAGACATGTTTAAGTTACGAATAAAAATTTGTTGTGATTTCTGGAACTAATTGTTTGGAAATTTTACTTTGAGGAATTAAAAACACTTTGAGCCTCGATGCAGAAAGACTTGCTATTTATTTCTTAAACGAAATAAGTAAGCATTTGAGCCATTATCATAAACAGTTCTATCAACTAAATAAGTCTTGAATTTGAAAAAGCGTCTACTGACTGTTTATCTGGTTACACAATTGCTTCACTTTTTTCGGTTTATAAGTTTGATTCAACAGTTTGATTTTTTAAATGGAAACCATTGAAAATTTGTGAATTTTAGAGATTGATCAATCATCCTTCAAATAAACAATAGCTGTCTTTTAAACTTTGTTCGCTCACCGTCTATAGCTCTACCAGCAGCATGTCTTTTCCTACCATTCTTTTGTCGATCGTGTTCATCTGCACGTTCAATGATTCTCCTCACCAAACCATAATTTTCCTCTGATAATTTGGTTATCGTAATCATTATCTCTATGAGCAACAGTTCATCAAACCCTTTGAACTTCATGCTGTTACCAATTGGATTTGTTGTTTGCTGCTTCCATCGACAAGTTTTTTTGAAAACTTGAAAACTGGTCTTTCCTGTTACAATATCTGTACATTTTTCATGGTCATTGACTGCAGATAAATTGAACTTAAAATCGATGCTGCATTTGCCACTTTTTCAAAATGTATTGTTCGTAATAGGGTGCCTGGAAGATCAAATATGTCGAGGATAGTTTTAAAAAAATTATCAAATTGTTTTTCAAGTCAAGAAAATGAAAAAGACTATGATTATAGTATCTGGTTGATTATTCAAGATCATTCTAGAAACTTAAAAAGAAACATAAGAAAAACTTGGGTTGAGTTACATATATACTTTTATATAAAACAAAATAAACGATTACACCTATATTCAAACATACGTACACCAACAAAAAAAATGTAAAACTGCATAAAAACGTATATACACAAAAACATAAAAACATTTGCATAAGTTGCAAACTTCCCTGTTACTTACAAAATATGGTCACACCTATTTTCTTGCAAATATACAACTGTACATAAAAATATAATTACTTAGGTAAAGATATTCGTACAAGCTTACATACAAAAACAAATACACACACACATACTGAATACAAACATATATACATCTAAACATAAACACAAGTATATATAAAAACATACAAACATACATACATACATACATACATACCTACATACATACATACATACATACATACATAATTACATGCAGTTATAGATATATACAAACGTACTTGCAGATATACATACAAATACAAAAAGTTACTCAGAGACATTCATACAAACATACATACAAAATTACAAACATACATACGTACATACATACATACATACAAACCAAATTCCTTACATGCATACATACATTCCAAAATAAAGTTTTTCTAAAAGACAATAATACACACATACAAACGAAATTACATACAAACACAACTACTTGATTACATACGCTTATACATGCATACATACATACATACATGCATACATACATACATACAAACATACACATAAAAAATCTTACTTAAAGACACTCATACAAACATACAAACAAAAGTTATACTTGCACTAATACTTAAATACATGCATAAATACATCCGTACATACATACATACATACATACATACATACATACATACATACATACATACATACATACATACATACATACATACATACATACGTACATACATATATAAATACCTCGATACATACATAGATAACGACATATATACATAAATTCATACATTCATACAAACATACATAGACTTATACAACAGTAGAATGCAAACAAGCTACCATATATAAATAAGTGTGTGCATACAAACAAACAGAAAAATAAGTTTCAGATTTTTGTTCAAATACTGTTAAACCTGCAATCAACAATTCGAAAAGTTTTGCTGACTCACATGCTCATTTTTATAGTTCTGTTGACCTATAATAAACAACCACATGTGAACAAACAAACCAATTTACATTCACTTCACGGCTTCAATATATACACACAATTATATATACATGCCTTTCATACTCACATACGAATATGCTTAAGTATTTGCTGACAAACAGACATGGATTTTTTTAAGCACGCAACTACTCATGTGTACACACTTTCCTTTTAAACAGACATACAATTTAATCATATTTTCGTAGAATTTTACAAACAAACAAAATTGTAAGTGCAAATGTAAACAAAACTTTTTAAAATTTACATTCATTCACTCAGTCCATTGGATATGCAGTCAAAAGTTCTTATTTACACAAAAACATACAAACATACATAATTTTTTAAATACTCAAATGAATACACACGACTAGTATGTACATACATGCTTAAGTACGTACATACAGCCAAAAGCTGTACACTTTTACATAGATACATACCGCCATTAGTACCCACTTACGCACAGCATATATGCGTACCTATATACTATCGCAAATAGTATATTATTAAACTTTCAAAAAGAAATTGAAAACGTTAGAAAAAATAAAGTTGGGTTAGAGTTATTCTTCTAGTTATAATTAGTTTGGTTTCACAAGCACATAAGGACGAAAACACAATCGTACACACAGACAGATCAACCTGCGACCCAATATCGATAATTTGAGCTATAGTATTTTAGAAAAAATTCTTCGAACTATAATAAAACTAATGTTAAAGGTATGGAAAGAAAAGTTGTTCTAAGCTGATGTTCAATACATTGTGATGTTCAACTCAATTATGTTTCAAGTAGAAAAGAAAAATTTTCAACAATTTTCAATTTGTGCAATTTAAACAAACCAAATTTAATTTGTGATTTTCTAGAGCGACCATTTTTCTGACAAGCAACGCCAGTTTTTTTTATTTTTGAAGATTAACGACAACAAAAAATTTTGTTCTTTTTTGTTTAATTTAAATTTGTTTTTAAAACACACAGCTAAACATTAAGTATTGAATTCAACTCAACTGACAGAACAAAGCGGCACAAAACACAAAACAGTCTGAAACGTTTTCAGATTGACTCCTCGTATACCAAAAATTGATGAATTCCGATTACTTTTTTTTGGGAGCAACTGGTGTTTCCATTCGGCTTATATCGGTCTGGTTACTGCACCAATGACTCTCTGTTAGATTGGTATCAGCAAGGTGAAGAGTAACAAGGTGAAGCTAGTGGCTCCATTCCCAGGCCGACTTGGGCCTCTTGACTTCCTGGATATATCCAAGTTAATTCTACGATAGAGGAACGCACTCATAAGGAGTTGAGTAAATCTAGATCTTTAAGAGCATAACTTTGGCTGTTCGCTGAATCGATGATATATACTGCGATGATCAAAAATTCTTCTTTTCTGATGGGCTCTTAAACCATCATTTCAAAAAATTTAAGAACCTATATGGAAAATATGCAATTTAGGATTATTCAACTATTGTCTAATAAGAAAAGAAAATCTCCAGGACGAGTCATGTGAAAAAAAGAAGGCTCTTGAGCGGAATCAGTCAAACTTTCCGCATAATTTTTTTCAAATTTTGTGATAACGGAGTGCAAACACTTAATTGAAACGGGTAATTTTATGAATCAAACAAAACAAGCACGTGCCTGCAGAGGCGTTGTTTTTGTGCTAATAACAGGACAAGTCGAATCAAGAATTGGAAAAGAAATAGCTGATAAATGCTTTATTCTGTATAACCATCAGAGCTTTTAATCCGATAAACTAATAACTCTATCGACTGTTCGTCTATTCTCGCAAAATGAACAGTTCGCATTCATATCTTGTATTCAGCGGCTGAACTAAAATACACAAAAATTTCCGCATGTTTGATTTAGTTTTTTGATTGGGTATAGATGTCAGTACACAACCCGAAAGATTTTCAATTGAAAAGTTTTACAATTCACTCTGATTTAATATTACCGGAATTTGTTAATCTGTTCGGAAACTTATCCAATTTGGCTAAACTGTGTATGATCTATCACTGACTGACAAGCGAAAGGATCGATTAAACTTGAACGTATGTATATATGTACGCTTTTGTTTCTTATGTGTGTGTTTATTGGTATGTGTAATGGCTCTTTTCATCTGAAATCCTTGACATTTGAATTTGATATAAAGTTATCAGAGTTTGTTAATCTGCTGGGAAATATATCCTATTTGGCTACGCTGTGGATGATCTATCACTGACTGATAAGCAAATAGTTCGAATAAACTTGAACTTATGTTTATATGTACGTGTTTTTTTTTACGCTGGTGTATATCGTTATGTGTAATTGTTCATTCTATGTAGCTAGAACAAAAGCTAGAAGTAAAAGCCACAAATTGAACTCAATGTAGTTTCAATTCCAGATTCGCCAAGCACTACTAGAACATTTTACTAGGTACTATTTCTGTACTATGTTCAAACGAGTTACTACAAAGTAAATTAATAATGTGTACATGTGTGTTTTGCATGTACAATAATAATTAAATCTTTTACGGTTTGCTTGTATTGGAAATGTTATATAAAAAAATGTATAAGCAAGTTGTTTTAAAGAAAATTTCGAATCAGTTTAGATAAGTAATTTTCATTAGAATTACAGCTTGGTGTCAAAATCATTTCAATGTGTTCTTTTCAATTCTCCTCATTATTCTAGATGGGTTTAGGTTATCAACCAGGTTTTGTATATGTAAAATTAGTGCAAGATGATAGGCGTTGTAATCTATTTTTGTTTTACTTGCAACCACGACTAATGTCTACTTCTTATGATTGTGGTTATATAGGTTTGTATAATTTTTTCACATGTATAAATTCACTTTTGTAATCAGAATATTGCTGTCAGAACTGCTACTTTACAGGTAAAAACAATTCATCTCAAATTTTTTGTCTCTTGATTTCTGAATACTTCACCACATATTAAAAATTTACCAGATACTATATTAAAACGTGCTTCTATGCCTACATAGACACAATGTATGTGATATGTTTTTACAAAACTACTCATTGATTTCTTATCCTAACTTATCTGTTCAGTGAATTTCTAATAAGAAATACAACTAAGAAACTAAATACTTGAATTTTTTCTTTCAGATTTTGAATAAATCTCACTAGTTATTTGATGTGTAATGTGATCAAACGAGTGTCTTTTTGTCAATATAAAAAGCGAGTATGTAAGTGTCTAAGTTTGCATGATTTCTTCATCTCAATTATGCGTTTAGGCCGGTAGGCAATTTCTATCTCGGTATAAATGAAAAAAAGTGAAGTGAGCTTGACTTAAGCCCTGTTTTGTCAGGAAAAACATTGTATGTGTCACCTCAACGTAACTTTTAAATGTACCAAAACAGGTACAAATTATAAATACGTGCGTTTATTCTTTTTTCAAATTAGATAATTGATGCTGTGAAAATGGTTTCTTAAATAATCTTTGTTATGTTTGTTTATTTGTTTAAGTTTTGTTTAGGAACGACTATAAAAGATCTATATTCTCTGTTCATAACATTGCAAAATGTTAATTTTACTGCTGTTGTCACCATCAATTT